AAAATATATTAAAAAAAAAAAAAAAGAAATTGCCAAACTGTTTTAAACAATGTTCAATCTGTCAAGTCAGTCAATATGAATAAATTAATTAGGTGTCCACTCATTCCCAAGCTTCATGCTACAAGTTATGGAGGATATTTTTTCAAGGAAGAAGAGAAAACTTTTTTTAAAAAATATTGATTTTTTTACAGAGAGGAAGGGAGAGGGATAGAGAGTTAGAAACATCAATCAGCTGCCTCCTGCACACTCCCTACTGGGGATGTGCCCGCAACCAAGTTTCATGCCCTTGACCAGAATCGAACCTGGGACCCTTCTGTCCGCAGGCCGAGGCTCTATCCACTGAGCCAAACCAGCCAGGGCGAGAAAACTATTCTTTCTGCTGAAAATTTTAAGTCATCTGAAGGGAGGAGGAAATACATATACAAGTATATATACATGTAAAATCAACAGGTACTTATCTCTGTAAAAGAAGGGGAAGTTAAATATAAAATTGTTTTTATATTTATATGCATAACACTCTCCTATAGATAAGCATGTTTATATAATGTGAGTCTCTTAATTTGGTCATCTGTGAGATGGGGATAACAGGACTGGTTTCAAGCATGTGGCAGTGATTAGAGGATCTCTGAGGAAGTGGATGGATAAGTACAAGGTCTTGTCATAAACTGAATTTCAGTGCAGATGAGAGATGCCTGGAGTTAATTATGGGGAGCCCTGTTTTTTCAGAGGTGGAGCTTAAGTGGGAAGAGCATGCAGAGAGTCTAAGGAGATGAAGGGGCATAAAGGTTAAGTGTAGAGTGGAAGAGTTGAATTAATAAGCAAAAAGAAAGCAATGATACTAACCAAATCTATTAGCATCTTAAAGACTTCCTGAGGATTATCCTGGTCTTCAGTCTTCTTAGAACTGTTTTCTGCAGGGAGCATACCCAACAGTTTCTGCCCTAAGGTCTTCTTAGTCCTTTGTGATAGTGATCCTAAAATTAAACATGAAAATCCAGCTGAGACATAAAAAGACACTTATGGATGTAGTACTTCCAGGAAAAGAGGTACGTTGACCCAAGGCTCATTCACTCCTCGGTCAGGAGGTTGTCCTCCTCAGGAGACTGCTAACACAGGTGAGTCAGGTAGCACAGTGGAGGGGGAAAAGCACAGGCTTTAGCGCCAAGATAGTAAATGCAAGGAGAGGGCCACAGTGAGAATCCAGAGCAACATGCTGCCATTTGTCGCATCACCGCTCCTCAGCTGGCTACAATGGCTGCCCCCGGGAGAGAGTGCAGCCCATGCTACCAGATCATCTAAGTCCTCCAGAGGAGCCAGCAATCCAGATTTGTATGTGATATCTCCCAATTTTAAATGTCAGCCACTTACCCACATTATTTGAGAACACCATGCAGACCCCACAAAACATATCTATAGGCCAGTGGCCTCTGAACCATGTGAACTCTGCTTTAGAACCAGAAAGACCTGGACTTGGATCTTCACTTAGCCACTTACTAACTGCATGACCGTGGACAAGTTCTGAGCTTCATTTCCTCACCTCTAGAATAGGAATAGTGCCTGTGCCTCAAGGTTGCTGTGGTATTAAATAATAGAGCATCCGCTGCTGGAGGAGAGCGGACAGTGAGCATTTAATTGGTACAGTTTCTGTTTGGGAAAATGAAAAAGTTATGGAGATGGATGGTGGTGATGGTTACACAACAATGTGAATATGCTTAATGTTGCTTAAAAATGGCTAAGGTGGTAATTGTTTTACCAGCAAAACAAACAAAAAAACCCACAGTTGTGAAAGCATCTAGCCCAGGTACTGACAATGTTGAAAAATCCACAACCTGAAATGTGTGCACTAATGTTCTTCATCCATAGAAAGAATGCAATTTATAGTACAAGGTACAAAATTAATAGATTTATACAGAGAAAATGTCAAGATTGCTTTTGGAATGCTTTGCAAATGGTCTCCTGGGAAACCGAGAGCAGATAAACCAGTGACTGGGGCTCACACCTGATCTCTTCTGTGAGCAACTGTGCAAAGTGGAAACACCAGACCAGCTGACCATTCGCAGCTTCAATGAGAGGATGAATCTGTCTACATTCAGCCTAAAAAAGGACCTGTGCTTGTAAACTCTCTCTTAGGACTTGTCTCAAGAAGAAAAGTTGATGCCTTCAGTGTTAACCACACAAAAGAAAATGACCTATAATAATCATCCTATACCTGCTCAGATTATTGGAATATAGTACTAGTAAAATTAGAATCTTGTCACTAAGAAACACAGAGTTACTGAAACTTGTAAGGACTTGTAACATCTTTTCAGAGATGAATCAATTATTTAAATTCTGCTTCTAAACCTCTCAGTGCCTTAAGGGAAAGCAAAGACTGGGAGCTACACCTATCAATCTATGGAAAAGTTCCTAAGGTTTATTACTAGCTAAGAAAGGCAGGAATTCTGGAATATAAAATGAGCCCAGCCCTAGCCAGTTTGGCTCAGTGGATAGAGTGTCAGCCTATGGAGAGAAGGGTCCCGGTTTCGATTCCTGTCAAGAACACATATCTCAGTTGCAGGCTCCTCCCCAGCCGTGGCCCTGGTCAGGGCGTGTGCAGGAGGCAACCAATCAATGTGTTTCTCTCACATCGGTATTTTCCATCTTTCCATCTCTCTTCCACTCTCTAAAAATCAATGGGAAAAAATATCCTTGGGTGAGGATTAAAAAATAAATAAATAAAATGAGTCCAACCAAGTCGGTGTGGCTCAGTGGTTGAGTATCAACCTATGAACCAGGAGGTCACAGTTCAGTTCCTGGTGGTGGGCTTGATCCTCAGTAGGGGGCGTGCAGGAGGCAGCCAATCAATGATTCATCATTCATGTTTCTCTCCCTCTCTTCTCTGAAATCAATAAAAATATGTTTTAAAATAATAATAAAATGAGTCCAGCCCTAGCCAGCATGGCTCAGTGGATAGAGTGTCAGCCTGTGGACTGAAGGGTCCCAGGTTCGATCCTGGCCAAGGGCACATGCCTGGGTTGCAGGCTGGGTCCCCAGTAGGGGGTGTGCAGGAGGCAGCCGATCAATGATTCTCTCTCATCATTGATGTTTCTATCTCTCCTTCTCCCTCTCTGAAATCAATAAAGAAATATATTTTAAAAATAATAATAATAAAATGAGTCCATACTCAAGTGCTGAAATGAGTACAAATCTACCTCTTAAAAACCCAGCTTGGTCTACATAGCACTACCCTTATGGCCAATATCCATACATAGTAGCGGGCCTTCTATGCAAGTGACAGAATGTGACAAGCTTTCATAAGATTACTTTTTAATCATGTCTGCCCCTCCTTTTCCTATTTCTCCCATCACTCTTCTCCCTACAATGCTGCCCTCAAAGAGTATTCCTTTGAAATAGTTGCAGTGTGGCTCCTATCAAGGGCATAGCAGAGAGAAGAGATGCCCGAGGATGATCGCCCACACAGTTGTTGTCCATGGTAGAAATATTCTTAATGTTTCCCACTGATTCCTAAAAGGCTAAACACATGGACTATGTCTTATTTCCCTGGCAAAATCACCTACCTTGAGTTGGACATGGAAGTTTTTGTCAAGGAATTATAGAAAACAACCATATAAATATTGATTTTGTACTTCCTATAAAGTACTGTTGAGGACTTCACCATTATATTTGCTTAATGGCCTCTATAAGTCTCATGTCACAAAAACTTTTAGGAGTTAATTTCAGGACAATGTGGAATGCCATTAGAAGAGTACCAACAATTATCCTGTTATTTTATGGCTTTGTTAATCCCAATAGCTCATCTACATATGTAACATCCAGTGATCCCTTTCTTCCCATAGATACTAAAATTTTAAATCACCACTGTATGCAAAATTTTAATTATATTATCAATTGTATTAAATATGCTTAATCAACTTTGATTATAACCAAAAACTTCCAAAATTATACCTAATTTTGTCATTATAGTTCATATTTACCATTCTCTTTAAGGTGCTTCAAATTTATCCATTTTGTTTCTTTTTTACACATTTTATTATCCATTTGTGTCAATATTAGTGCCTGGTCATTTTTCCTCATTAATTGTTGCTCAAATGCAATTCTGAATGCATCTGCCATTATGTAAGCTTCTTCTTTTCTCTTCTGCAAAAGTTCCAGCTGGTTTTGAAAGAAAGTTTGAGAGGTGTCAGAGGCAAAACCTGAATAATTCTTGCCTGAATGCTGAGTCAGATTAGCTAATGCAATCTCCCTGCCTAGCATGGGACTACTCTGTCCTTGGTCTATTTCATCTGCTTTAATTAGTACGTGCCCGTTCTCGTTGGTAGGAGCTGCCCACTCTGAACTGGATTACCAGAAATTCCCCTTGTGGTGCCTGTCAGTTCTCTTGGACTTCATTATCGTTGACACGCCCTGTGTGTGTTTTGCCCCACTAGGGAGAAGGGAGACTGCCAAAGCCTGCATTTCAGTACTCCTGTGGGCCATTCCAGACAATACCACTGAAAATGATTTTGAATATCTTTCAGACACCTCCTATAGTTGACCCTTACTCTGATCTATGTAATCATATGCTTCTCCTAATGAATTCTTAATATTTAGCTGTTAGCTTTTCCATATAGTCTGAAGACTTTAAATTTCATACCTTCAGTAAAGGTAAAATATTTTTAAAATTATGGCCCATGCTAAAATGACAGCTACCATTTGATTAAATGCTGGGCACATGCTAAATATATATCTACTTCCTCTATTTCTTACAACAACCCTCCAAACTAGTTATTACCCTTTGCCTAACATATGTGTCCAGAGCCAGAGCTAGACATGATGGACCTAAGATCAAAGCTAGGTTTGGTAGCACAAAGGCTCCTTCCACTGAACCTCATTGCTCTTCTAATAAGCTTCATGTTGATCTCATTAATCAGTGATGCAGATCCTAGCAATTTTAAGTAGAAGTGCACCTTTTCCTCCAATCCTATATAATAAAAGGGTAATATGCAAATTGACCCTAACAGCGGAATGACCAGGAACGACCGGTCGCTATGATGTGCACTGACCACCAGGGGGCAGACGCTCAACACAGGAGCTGCTCCCTGGTGGTCAGTGCACTTCCACAGAGGCAGACGAGGCTCCTGCCACTGCTGCTGCGTTGAACAGCCTCTCCCGCCTCTGTGGCAGTGCTAGGGACAGGGGTCCTCAAACTATGGCCCACGGGCCACATACAAATACAAATATTGTATTTGTTCCCGTTTTGTTTTTTTACTTCAAAATAAGATATGTGCAGTGTGCATAGGAATTTGTTCATAGTTTTTTTTTAAACTATAGTCTGGCCCTCCAACAGTCTGAGGGACAGTGAACTGGCCCCCTGTTTAAAAAGTTTGAGGACCCCTGGCTAGGGATGTCCAACTAACGGCTTAGGGCCACTCCCCATGGGGAACGGGCCTAAGCCATTAGTCGGACATCCCCTGAGGGCTCCCGGGCTGCCAGAGGGATGTCTGACTGCCAGCTTAGGCCCAATCCCTGGGGAGCAGGCCTAAGCCAGCAGGTGGATATCCCCCAAGGGGTCCCATACTGGGAGAGGGTGCAGGCCAGGCTGAGGGACCCCCCCATCCGAGTGCACAAATTTTCGTGCACCAGGCCTCTAGTATACAGTATAAACAAAAGAAATAGAATTTAGGAAGTATTAACTACAGTCTTAGGCAAACAACTTTATGTGGCTACAGTATCATGCCAAATACTATTTGTATTCTGGAACCATATCCAGTTTATACGTTAATGCTATTTTATAAAACTAAGCATAAGATCCATCACCAATGACTAGTAAAATTAAGCTAATAATTGAAAATACTCCCATTTATTCTACTATTAATAGAGAAACAAAACCAAGGCTTTTACTGTTCTGATAATACGATACCTCTTGTTTGAGCTGAAGAATCCTTTTCTGAGCAGATGCCGCCATTTTGGCACAGGAACAGGGGCTCCCTCCAGGACCATGACAAAGGCAGGCTCCAAGTACCGAAAGCTTTAAATCCAAAAGCAATACCCTGTTACTAAGTGTCACACTGCTTAGCTGGACACAAATGCAGGGGCACACCCACACATACACACACACATTTCTAGTCAAGCATTTTATTCAAAGAAATTGGGGGGAAAAAACAGAAGAAAAATGAGACCAGCATTTCAGCATCCAAGAGAAGATTAATTACATGCAAACGAGGAAAGAATGTTGGTACTTGGGACAAAAACATAATGGAATTCTACCTTCCTTCTTTTCACTGTCCACCTTCACCTTTAACCTGGCACCAGTTTCCTATAATTCTGAATCTTTGGCAGGAACTTGACCTAGTGAAGTCAATATTAACATCCACAATGTGGTAGATATGGGTAGTGAAAGTGAAAAGTAACTTCTGAGGCCTCGTAGACATGTGTGTTCACTTCATCTCCAGTTAACTTTGTGTGCATATTGTCAGGCTCTCAGGAGAAATACTGTTAACAAAGAAAGTGAAGCCCCAGGATGACCTTCTCAGGTTAGAGAACCAAGATGCTCGTATAGTTAAACGCCTGTACTTGTTGCCTTCTACAACCACATCAAAATTACAACTAAAATACAGAACAACCATCATCCAGAACCACCAGAAAGCTGGCTGAGTGGAAATACGTACTACAACGAAAGAAGTAAAGAAGAAAGCACAATGAAACTGGTAGGAGGTGCAGAGGCGCCGAACGGGCTGGTCCGGCACCTGGGTATGCAGCTTTTTTAATCGGGAGGGAGATCATCTCTGCAGAGGCCGCCTGGAGGAGCAAGGAGTCCCAGCCCCACACCAGATGCCCATCCCAGGGTCCCAGAGCTGGGGAAAGAAGTCTCTATGGGCAGTAAGAACTACGGACTGTAAAAACCAGTGCAGATTGGGGCTAAGTGATACAGAGGCTGCTGGAGACACAGCTGCTCCTCTTAAAAGGCCAGCACCATGAACTGAATTTACAAGCCCCCACTTCCTCTGAGCTCCAGTGCCAGGGTAAGGCTCTCGGGGACCCAGACACATACGGGGAGAAACTGGATGAACTCGGGGGGTTTTCTTCCAGAAGAAGGTGCTCGCAGCAGTCATTGTTCCTGTGCTGGGACCTCCCCTGTGCAGGGCTGACTGAGAGCAGCCATTGTTTGCTCCACCCTTATGATTCCCTGAGACCCCACCCCACCCAACTTACAGCCCACCCAAGCTGTGAACAGCGGCTTTTGTATATGAATGGCCTGTCCTTGCTCAGGCTAAACTCTGTCAAACAAGCTGCAGCTGGGTCAGAGAGCTCCAAACCTATCAACAAAAGGCCCAAGATCTGGCATCAGCACCAGCCTGCCTTGCTTCACAGCTGTGTGGGTGGGGCCAACATTGGCAGCAGGTGCAAGGGACCCTAGCAAGTGGGAGCAAAGAATTTTCAGTAACCACCAGAGGCTCGTCCCAATGACAGTGACCAGCACCCCACCTTGATCTGGTACCCCCGCTCACCTGCTCCACCATCCTGCCGTGGCCGATGCCCGCCATGTTCCACATGCGCCCCCTGGTGGTCAGCTCACGTCATAGCGACTGGTTGTTTGGTTGTTCCACTGTTCAGTCTATTTGCATATTAGGGTTTTATATATATATATAGATATTTTCAAAAACCCTATTAAGTAGTGTAACAAATTAATATTTTGGCTCCAATTCTTCACCCTTTCTTGGTTCCATGCTTTTTACACATAACTTTTTAGTGCCTGTCACATGAGAAGTATAAAGGGGATTACTTTCTGTAACTTGACTTTTGGCTTGGCCATATGACTTTCTTTGGTCCATAGGATGACAGTAGGTGTGGTGCAAAGAGGATTTGCAATGTACTTGTGTGGTTTGCTATGCTTTATGGCATTTTTTGTTCTTCCCATGAGAAAAGTTTTTTCCAAGTTGGTGTTGTGTCTTCTACCTGGAACCCAGAATGAGAAATATGGAACAGACCAGAGCCAGCTGGATTTCTAACTTAACACAGAGATGTTAAACCCAGACCAGCCTAGATCAGCCAATTCCCAGCTAGCTGATCACAGATGATAAAAAAGAAATGCTACTGAGATTTTGTGGTTGCCGGAAATAGTTGACTAATATAGTAGGCATTTTAGGTTTATGTTCTTTTCCTGGGGCCCTGAGCAGTTAATTAACTTACCTAAGAACCAGTTTTTTATTTGAGCTGTGCTTACTTCACACTGTCTACTCCACACTGTCTACTACACTGGTCCTACAGGCAGGTGTGACCAAGCTCCTACACTGCCTCAAGGGGTGGGGAGTTGAAGGAGACTAGTTTCTAGCGACCTAAGTGGGAAGGCTTCTGCCTATATTGCTTCCCTAGGAAGTTCTTAGATATTGTTGATGATATTTATCTCAGGGTATGTGTGGGTTGAGAAGGGGGTGTTGCTGTGCTGAGTTTCACTGCTTCTTAATCAATTTCCACTGAAGAGATAAACAACTGAAGAGGCAGGGCCCATCTATAGAGCTCAAGCACGAAAGACAGAATTGTTGATGTAGTAACTGCCTTGTATGATAAACTAAAAGACTCAAAAGGTCCTTGGAGGGCGTTGGTCTCATAGAGATTAAGTCTGCACGTGTGTGTGTGTGTGTGTGTGTGTGTGTGTGTGTGTCTGTATGTGTGAATGAGGAGGATTGGAACTCTGTACCCCAAAGCTCTAACATTTGATACTCTTCATAGCGAGAACAGAGACATTCATTTAAGACTTAGCTTTTGATATTTATACAGATCAAAGCTCTCTCTCTTTTATATTCCGTGCTTGCAGATATAAATATTACTATTAGTAATACTTTAAGCAATAAAACAATTTTAAAAATAAAAATAAATAAAAACATCCACAATGTGGACTTCCTGTGACTGGACTTGGCCCTGCTGCCCAGCATTCATTACTGCCGGCTCCTGTCAGGGAGAGTCGCATACTCAAAAATGAATGAATTTTAATGTCAATGAGAAAAGCAATCATCTGTCCACTCCTAAAAAAAAAATCTATGATTATATAATGTGAGGCCCTACTAACATAGCTTCTGCTAAAACTGTAAAACTAAGGAATAAAAGGAAGTAAATGGCTAACATATCCCTTAATCTCCAAGAATGACATGCATGAAGGGTGTGGTACCAGCAAGACAAGAGCTGAACTAGACAAACCCATGGGCCTTTCAGTCTCAAATTGTAAGTATGGTGCTGTCCTGGAATGTGTAACAGATGGTGACGATGGGAAGTAGAAAATTTCCATCCTTCTAAGCTTTCATACCTGCTTACCTACCTCAAGGCCTGAAAACTCTGTAAAGTCACTTTTAGCATCGCACGTGTTTTCCTGAACCATCTTCTGCTGTTTGATTTCAAGCATAGCAAGGGCTTCCAAATACTGTTGATTCAAGCCTAGGAAGGGCCATACAAGAAAGTGTTAGTTATGAGGGCTAACTCTGGTCTCACCTAATCTTGTTACATCAACATCTATACTCATTCCTTACAAGCAATGCATATACAACAGGCATTGCCCACAAAATTTGGCCCCATCCAGAAAATCTGATAGAATAGTGGGTATGGATGGAGTGAGAGAATACATGTGTAACACTAGGTAAAATGTTATTACTTCTAAGTGGAAGTATCTTAACTTTGCAACCTAAGTCTAGTCTTCATTTACTCGGAAAATTTGTAGCATTTTCAAAGAGAAAATATACAAAGGCAAATTAGTCAGAGACGTTGTAGATAGTGAGATAACCAGATAGTGAGATAACCAGAGATAATCATATTTGTTTTTTGTCAAATGTACCAGCAATCCGCCCTAGCTGGTTTGGCTCAGTGAATAGAGCATCGGCCTGCAGACTGAAGGGTCCTGGGTTCAATTCTGGTCAAGGGCACATGCCCAGGTTGTGGGCTCAATCCCCAGTAGGGGGTGGACAGGAGGCAGCCAACAATGATTCTCTCTCTCCCTCTCCCATCCTCTCTGAAATCAATAAAAATATATTTAAAAGAAAACATACCAGTGATCCAAACTCCATCAGATTTTTTTATTAAGAATTTTCACAAGAGGATTTCAAACCATTTAGAACATTTCTGCTATTTACTGGAAGGCCGACGCTCTATCCACTGAACCAAACCAGTTAGGGCTCCATCAGATTTTTTTATTAAGAATTTTCACAAGAGGATTTCAAACCATTTAGAACATTTCTGCTATTTACTGGAGAGCAGAAAACAGTAACTTCCCCCCTCTTGTCGCAGGGTGGAGTGGGAGGGAGGATAGGGAGGGGTTGTCATGAGCAGCTTCTGTCTGAAGCACTAACCTAACACAGGAGAAATCTCCTCTGCTCAAATCACTGGTACGGAGAAGCACTGTGTGTGTGTTCTCACCCGGGGCATCGCCACAACTCACGCACCTACACTAGAAAAAGTGCCTATCTCAGGCCATGACCAAATTCAGAACTTATTTTTGTCCCCTTCAAGCCACCACTTTAAAATAGTTTCTGTTCAGAAGGGAGAATCAATATCTTCTCTTAGAATTTTATAAAAAGTTGGTACCACCTTAATATTCTTAAAACACTTTAATATTCTTTCATTAATTTTTCTCGTAAGGTAGCTCATTATATAAGAGATGTGTGGTGGGGGGAGTGCACACATATACACCCGACTCTTGAACAACACGGGTTTGAACTGCGTGGGTCCACTTATACACCAATTTTTTCAATAAACATACAGTTGACCCTCCTTTTCCCTGGATTTTGCATCTGGTGATTTAACCAACCTCAGATGGAAATACTGTTTTCAATCCATAGTTGGGAATCCATGGATATGGAGGGCTGATTGTATGCATTGTTCCACATTTTATTTTATTTTTATTTTTTTAAATATATTTTATTGATTTCAGAGAGGAAAGGAGAGGGAGAGAGAGATAGAAACATCAATGATGAGAGAATCATTGATTGGTTGCCTCCTGCATGCCCCCTACTGGGGATTGAGCCCGCAACGCAACCCAGGTATGTGCCCCTGACTGGAATCGAACCAGGGACCATTCAGTCCACAGGCCGATACTCTATCCACTGAGCCAAACCAGCATGGGCTCCATACCATTTTATATGGGGGATTTGAGCATACAAGTATTTGGTCTCCCTTATAGTGGGTTCTGGAACCAATCCCCCACAAATATAGATGGATGGGAGTCAAAAGTTATATGTGAATTTTTGACTGCACGGAGGTTGATGCCCCAACCTCCCCCCCTGTTGTTTATTTTAAAGATTTTTTAAAAAATATAATTTTATTGATATCAGAGAGGAAGGGAGAGGGAGAGAGAGATAGAAACATCAATAATGAGAGAGAATCGTTGATTGGCTGCCTCCTGCACACCCCCAACTGGGGATCAAGCCCGCAACCCAGGAATGTGCCCTTGACCAGAATCGAACCTGGGACCCTTGAGTCCACAGGCCACTGCTCTATCCACTGAGCCAAACTGGCTAGGGCCACCCCTCTGTGTTGTTAAGGGTCAACTGCAAATGTAAAAAATTTCTAATTCTTAATGAGTCAAATATCATCTTGAAAAATTAAGGATGACCGTATTAGTGATAAAGTCACAGAAGACACTTATGGAAGAAACTAATGTTAAATAACTATATATTTACAAACTTTCCCTACTAGTGTCCCAAGAGAACCTACACCTACTCAGGTTCCTCAAACATCAGGTACTCTACCATTTATTTTACATGGAGTATAAAAGCTAAATGATAAAGGAGAAATAGGGAGAAATTTTTAATAGGTTTGAGGTTTTATTTTAGAGTGATGGAAATGTTATGGAGCTAGATGGTTCCACTTTTTAAAATTATTTATTATTATGTATTGGTTTGGGGTGTATGCTTAGTGGTTAGACAATCATATACTTTACAGAGTGTTCCCCTGATAATTCTAGTTCCCCAACTGGCACCATACATAGTTATCACAATATTATTGACTTTCCTATAACTTACTTACCTGTGAGTATTTTGTAATTAGCAATTGAATTGTTCACTTTTATTTATTTTATTTTTTTCTATCACCATTTATCCCCCATACACCTCTCCCACCTCCACCCATCCCCTCCCCCTGAGAACTGTTCACTTTTTTTTTTTTTTTTTTTTTTTTTTTTTTTATTGTTCACTTTTTTTTTTTTGGTAATGTATTTTTATTGATTTCAGAGAAGAAGGGAGAGGGAGAGAGAGATAGAAACATCAATGATGACAGGGAACCATTGATTGGCTGCCTCCTACTCGCCCCCTGTAGGGGATCGAGCCCACAACCTGGGCATGTGCCCTTGGCCGGAATCAAACCCGGGACCCTTCAGTTCACAGGCCGATGCTCTACCACTGAGCCAAACCAGCTAGGGCAAGAATTGTTCACTTGTAAATGGTAATTTTGTTACATGACTTTTACCTAAAACATTTTTAAAATTAAAAACACCTAAATGATGCATATCTTCTATTATTCTTAGAATATATTACTTCTAAATATTAGCACTTCATCTCTATTGATATGTATGTTATTAACATAGGACACTCTATATAAAATGAATCTTTTAACATAATATTTTAAAAGAATCATCAAAATACCACTCTTACTTGCATTTTCAGACTTCAGCATTTTAATTTCTTCTGTTTTTAGTTTCAAAGTCTCTTTGAGGACTGCATTTTCACAGTTTAGCCTGGGAAAAAAGTAACCACCAAATAACTAAAATATTAGCACTTTGTACTTATATCAGAATGTTTTCATCCCATAGAGCACAAAAAATAAATATAATTTTTCCTACTTCAAAAGTCTAGAATTTAGATGTTACAAAATAAAGACAGTTTAAAGGAGTGTGGAAAGGTTTTGAACATACTCTAAACCCTTCAGTATAGCTCAGAAAAAATCAGAACCAGAAATAGCTCTAAGGCAACCATTCTGAATATTCATTCTCTTTACTGAAGTTTTAATTTTAATTCAGTTTAATAAACATATCCTTGGGTGAGGATTAAAAAATTAAAATTAAATTCACACTAATGAAAGAGTTGATCAAAAGATTTTGTTTGAAAAAATAGTGTCAATGCTAAAATAACTTGGGAAACAATGACTCTTACATTGTTTTTTAAAATATAGTTTAGCCCTAGCTAGTTTGGCTCAGTGGATAGAGCGTCGGCCTGTGGACCAAAGGATCCTGGGTTCAATTCCGGTCAAGGGCACGTACCTAACTTGCAGGCTCCTCCCCAGCCTGGGCCCTGGTCAGGGCTCGTGCAGGAGGCAACCAATCGATGTGTTTCTCTCACATTGGTATTTCTCTGTCTTCCCTCTCTCTCCCACTTTCCCTAAAAATGAATGGAAAAATATCTTCAAGTGAGGAAGAATAACAAAAAAAAAAAGTAAAAAAATTAAAATACAGTGTAGCCTGGCCAGTATGGCTCCGTTGAGATTCGTCCCATGTACCAAGAGGTCACTGGTCCGATTCCTAGTCAGGGCACACACCCGAGTTTCAGGCGGGATCCCCAGTAGGGGGTGTGCAGAAGGCAGCCAATTGAAGTTTCTTCCTCTCTCTCTAAAATCAATAAAAACATAACAAATAATAAAAATACAGTTTATACTATTTTTTAAACAAGAAAATTAAAACTAACAGAAAGACATGGAGCTAGTAAGTGGACAAGCAATAAGAATTTTATAATACAGTTAGCTCAAGGAAGAAGAAGGCCTAAGCTACATTTGAATTACAAACATTTTAAAGATTCACAAAGAAAAACTATAGAATAGTAATATACAAACCTGTCATATTTTTGGGTCCAAGTTTCCTCTATATTTTTAATTCTATTCTGATCAAATTCTATTTTCCACTGCAAGGCATTTATTTCCTATAGAAAGAAAATAGCATTTCAGGACATTGTGACTAGCTGAACTAAATAATATAATCATTTCACAGAAATAGGTTCAAGAGGAAAAAAACTAAGTATTGCTCAAAAAGAGTATGACATTTGTAAACACACATAACATACCTCTTTAGCACTCAAAAGAGCTTTGCCAAAGCTTACTTACTATAGGAGAAATTTAAAATTGTTTAGGTTAACAATTTGCTGGTCCAAACCTAGATTTCTCATCATTCCCCCCGAACCCCCTGACCCCGTGGTCGGCAAACTGCGGCTCGAGAGACACATGCGGCTCTTTGGCCCCTTGAGTGTGGCTCTTCCTAAGCCTTAGGAGTACCCTAATTAAGTTAATAACAATGTACCTACCTATATAGTTGAAGTTTAAAAAATTTGGCTCTCAAAAGAAATTTCAATCGTTGTGCTGTTGATATTTGGCTCTGTTGACTAATGAGTTTGCCGACCACTGCCCTAACCCATGCAGACTCCACAAGCAAAATACACTCCTGGAAGTCTGAAGCCAGGACCGTTTCATCAAGGGAGAGTACTACCAGCACAGAAACAGGACCTTCGAGGGTGATTCCTAACTACTGTTTTAGTGAAGATGAGGTGGCCAGACAAAGGCAGGCTCTGGAAGCAGAGAAAGAAAAGAGGAAAAATAGGAAGTGTCAACTTGGCAGGCCTCCTACTACCTTAAAATGAGGAAATAAAAGAAACCTTAATTCTTTGCCCATTTGACAATCTGGATTATAGACTCCAAAAGGGAAGGAACCATATGAAGTGAAGCACACCTAGCAGAGGGTGTGCACAAACAACATATCCATTAATCAGGTGACCTTTAAGGAAATTCTGTTTGAGAGCTTGTTGGATTAACTACATCTATGCTAAAAATGCAAATACCTTCTCCAAGGATCTCTTTTCGTCCACAGTTTTTTGAAATACTGCCTGGGTATGACTTGTGGCTTTGCCAAATATTGCCTAGGAACAATAAAAATCATATCAGTACAAATAAAATTTCTAATCACTCCTATAGGCATGATGAAGTTAACATTTTTATTTTATTTTTTAATATATTTTATTGGTTTTTTACAGAGAGGAAGGGAGAAGGATAGAGAGTTAGAAACATCGATGAGAGAGAAACATCGGTCAGCTGCCTCCTCCACACCCCCTACTGGGGATGTGCCTGCAACCAAGGTACATGCCTTTGACCGGAATCGAACCTGGGACCTTTCAGTCCGCAGGCTGATGCTCCATCCACTGATCCAAACCAGTTAGGGCTACATTTTTATTTTAAGACAACAGAAAAGTAATTTGAGATGAGAATTTCCACAGAGACCACCTTTTGTGGAGTGTTTGATAGTTCAGAAGTCAGAAGATCTTGGTTTGGGTCTTCCCCAATGGATGTGAGCATGCACGAAAGGATTTGCACACAAAGACTTGTACACAAACATTCAAATTGTCCAAAGAATGGAAACCCAAATGCCCATCAACTGGTGAACGGATAAAAAAAATAAACAAAATGTGCCAAACCTGTATAATGGAATATTATTTAGCAATAAAAAGGAAGAAAGTGCTGACACAGGCTATACGATGCTTGAACTTCAAAAACATGCTACCTAAAAGAATCAGGTGCAAAAGAATCCAGGCACATATTGTATGATTCTATTGATAGGAAATAGAAAAGACAAATCTATAAGACAGAAGGTAGATTATGGATGGGAATGGGAAGTGACTCCTAATGTGTATGTAGTTCCTTTTGGGGGTGTTAAAAATGTTCTAAAATTAGATTGTGGTGATGGTTGTACAACTTCAGTTCAGTAAAAATGAATTGTATGCTTACGAGTGAATTTTATAGCATGTAAATTATACTTCAATAAAACTGTTAAAAAAAATCTAGACCTCAAAAAGAAACTCAATTATCTTAAGCACTGCTACTTTTGTTTTAAAAGCTAAAACCATACAACTTAGTACTGAAATGTGAAAGTGATGGAAGTTTAAAAAAAACTTCTTACCATGCTTTGAAGAATTTTCAGTGCTGCCTCTTTACCTTCCAGTTGTCTTTGAGAGGCCTCCAGTTCAGTTTTTAAATTTTCTACCTCCTGAGGAGAGAAATAAAATAAGTCTTCTTATCGGCAATCCCAAATGATCAATTTGATAGTCTACATTTAAGCTCCATATTCAGTTTGACTGAATGCACTCTGACCTTATAAATGAGGTTGGAAATTCCTATGGGCTCTATAAGTGGACCAGACAGACAAAAATTGAGAGCCTCACTATCAGGTGCCATTTGTAACTCAAAGCCCAAATCTTTTGCTTTTACGCATCTAGGCCACACAGCTAAGAATTTGAAAGAAAAAAAGAATTCCTTAGGCCACATAAAGGAAACACGAGTATTCACACAGCAACAGTAGTTATTATGGGTTGAATTGTATCCCCCCAAAAGAAATGTTCAAGTTCTAACTCCTGAGAGTGTGACTGTGACCTTATTTGGAAATAGTCTTTGCAGATGTAATCAAGTTAAAATGAGGTCAGATTGGATGCAGTGATGGCGAACCTATGACACGCGTGTCTGAGGTGAAACGCGAACTCACTTTGTTGGTTGATTTTTCTTTGTTAAATGGCATTTAAATATATAAAATAAATATCAAAAATATAAATCTTTGTTTTACTATGGTTGCAAATATCAAAAAATTTCTATATGTGACACGGCACCGGAGTTAAGTTAGGGTTTTTCAAAATGCTGACACGCCGAGCTCAAAAGGTTCGCCATCACTGGATTAGGGTAAACCCCAGTGACTGGTGTCCTTATAAAACGAGAAAAATCTGGACACGGACACACAGGGGACAAGGCCAAATGACAACAGAGGCGGAAACTAAAGGGATGCTGCTGCGAGCCAAGGAATGCCAGGAGCAAGCAAGCACTGTCGGGAATCTAGGAAGACGGACAGGATTCCCCTCCAGACCTCTCAGAGGGAATATGCACCCATACACACACCTTGATTTTGGATTTCTGGCCTCCGGAGCTGAGAGAATAAATCTGTTGTTTTAAGCCCAGAGTGTGTGGCACGTTGTTTCAGCAGCCGCAGGAAACAGTATAGCAGCTTTCACAGGAGTCACAAACATACACGAAGACAGGCTTCCTGCTTCCCACAGGAAAGGCACCTACCCCCCAGGAACTCCTACTCCCAGCAGGAGGAGCCACCTCCTCGGCCACCTGGCAAACTTTCTGGTATTTTGACTTCAAAGAGGTTAAAGTAAGTCAGGTTATTTCAAGCCAGGAAAGACAGATGGAAAGAAGTGGTAACTATTTTCTCCAGGAGAAGACTCAGGAAGCAGTAGTGGCAGGGGGGGGGGGGGGGCATATTTACGTAAAGAGCCTTTTTGAGAGATGAGGAGGATAAGAAACTGAGGAGGCCAGCTCATAGTTTTACCACATGGCTCCTTCACAATATCTGGAAAGCCAACATTTGCCTTCCACACAATTTTAGGATTCCTTAAACAAAATATCTACCAGTGGGCCTTTATTCCCATGAGAATTTTTTTTTAAGAGTACCTACCTCTAATGTTTCATCAAGACGTTGCTTTAACTCTACATTTGGCAATTCCGAATTAGAATCTATTAGAAAAAAAACACATTTGCTTTAACTAGTAATATCAGGACATTTGTTTACAAATTATCAAATATAGATTTCCCCTAAATTGCAAAGAGAATTGTAATAAACCAAAAAATGATAAAAATATGAAGCTTAAAATATTTCACAAATGAAGAGATACATACTTTGAATAAAAAGACTTTTTTTTTTAAATTGTTTTATTGCTTAAAGTATTACAAAGAGTATTACATATTGTACTGGGCTGAATATCTGGCACTTCACCCAGAAGGGTCGCGCTGTGCTGTCTGTTCCAGGAAAACATAGATAGGAAGGTGATAATGCTATACTGTGTCGGGAACAAATTGCGTAAGCAAGGCTTTGTAACTTTGTAGTTTTTGCAAATAAAAATGCTGTAACTTTTGCAGTCTGGACCACAGTTTCAGCCTTTTGCTTCGGTGGGGTGCTGGAACTGTCGTCAGCTGGCCAGCTTAATAAAGGCACCTAAATTTAAATTCTGAGTCGGTGGTCTATCTCGCTGAGTCAACCCAGCGGGGTGCTAACTGTGGTCAGCTGGCCAGCTTAATAAAGGCTCTTAAATTTAAATTCTGAGTCGGTGGTCTATCTCGCTAAGTGAACCCATAACATATATGTCTCCTTTTTTTCCCACCCTTAACAATCCCTCGGCCTCCCCTACCCCCCAGTGTCTTATGTCCATTGGTTATGCTTATATGCATGCATACAAGACCTTCGGTTGATCTCTTACCACCCCCCTCCTGCCCCTCAACCTAAAAAGACTTTTAAAAAGGACTCTAAAATAAAACTGTTGTTGCCCTAGCTGGTTTGGCTCAGTGGATAGAGCATCGGCCTGAACACTGAAGAGTCCTGGGTTCGATTCCAGTCAAGGGAACATGCCTTGTTGCAGGCCCAATCTGCAGTAGGGGGCGTGCAGGAGGCAGCCAATCAATGATTCTCTCTCATCATCCATGTTTCTATCTCTCCCTCTCCATTCTTCTCTGAAATCAATAAAAATATATTTTAAAAAAACTGTTGTTAAGAATTGGGTCAGTTACTACATATTACTACTATACAAACACAGTACAAAAACACATGAATGTTGGCGAGTGAACTAAATAAGTTTTGGTGTTGGCTTAAATTTGATCAATGTAGTGATATGAATAGCTAAGAAATAACCTGAATTTAATTTTTTTCCAATGAGAATGACTAGCAGTCTCCTGTAACTTCAATTATTCTCTCCTTGTGTGATCAACTGAGACATTACACTGAGCTTTCTAGGAGCTTCATTTTCAATGCGGTCTCACTGGCAACAGGAAACCGTTAAAGTGGCAAGTTACAAGTGGGAGGAAAAGAAGAAAAAGAAGAAGAAAATTAGAAAGAATATTTTGAGGAATATTAAAATTTTTTCAAAACAATTTTTTCCTTTGCTATTCTGAATTTTCATCAACATGACAGTATCCAAGGTAAAACCTACTTCATGTTTTTACTCTGATGATACAAAGTTTTAAAGGAGGGACAAAAGTGACATTGGATGGACAATGACAAGTTCTGTTTTATTAATACTTGTGGTAGGCAGAACAATGGCCCCCGACAATGCCCACATCTTAATCCCCATAACCTGTGAATACATAGCAAAAAGGACTTTGCAGATGGGATGTACTTGGAGATGGAAGAATACCCTGAATTACGCAGGTGGGTCCAATGTCCTCACAGGGTCCTTATCAATGAAAGAGGAAGGCAGGAGAGTCAGTGTCAGACTCTCACCAGCCACTGCTGGCTTTGAAGATGGAGCAAGGGGACATGGCCAAGAAATGCAGGTTGCCTAGAAGCTGGGAAAGGCCAGGGAACGGCTTCTCCCCTAGAACTTCCAGAAGGAAGGCAGCCCTGCCGATGGCTTGATTTTAGCCCAGTGAGACCTGCTTGGAACTTCTGACCTACAGAACTGTAAGATAATAAATGTGTTTTGTTTTAAACCATTAAATTTCTGGTAATTTGGAAACAACCTATTAGGAAACACACAACATTCTTACCTAAGATCAGGTCAACTTTGATAAAAGATAAAAGCCCATAACCCAACAAAACAAGAGCTCATACTATTGCTATTGCATCTCGTTTCTATCCCAGTGGTTTCCCCATGTTTTTACAAAGCATCATATTCAGTTTTCAACATCTTGCTTGCAAAACAGTATGCATTCCTATGCATGATAAGAAATTGGGAGAAAAATATATAAATAATCCCATCCTAATTTCAAGAAGGATTTTGCGGGATAGGGATAGATCCCCAGCTACAACATGTTGTTTGTAAATCTAAAATCATGTTTCTTAAGTTACTTTTGTGTTGTTCTAATGTGTGTTTGTTCCACTTTGGTGGGGAAGTTTTACAATGTGGGTTACAAAAGATACAGTCACAAAAGCTGTGCCACGGCGCAGGCATAGGCCTCATCCTTGGGTTCCCAAACGCTGTGGAGTTGTACCATTCTATCACAGTATGATCTGCATTTTATTCTTTCCTTAATGTATAGCTTAATTTATTTTTAGTTATAATAAGTGAAGATTAATTTTTTGTGTTTTAAAAATATGTTTTTATTTATTTCAGGGAGAGGGAGAGAGAGATAGAAACATCAATGATGAGAGAGGATCACTGATCAGCTGCCTCCTGCACACCCGCTACTGGGGATCAGGCCCCCAACCCAGGCATGTGCCCTGACAGGGAATGGAACCATGACCTCCTGGTTCATGGGTCAACAATGCTCAAACACTGAGACACACCAGCTGGGCAAGATTAATTTTGTTTTTCTAATTTTTGAGAATTTCATGACATCCCTAAAATAACCAGAAACGTGTGTGTTCTGCTGGTAACACTCCTTCCCCAGATAAGAACTGGGCTTGCCTGCTCAAATGTCACCTCCTTAGCAGGCCTCCCCTGACCTTTGCCTAAAATAGCAGTGCCCCAGCCCCTCCAATCACTCACTATCCCTTCACTTACCACTGCCTGATGTTATACAGCTGCTGATTTGTAGGTTTATTCTGTCTCCTAGACTACAATTAGGGCCCTGGACAATTTTGTTCAATGATGTTATTCCCAGAGCTGTTATTCCCATAACAATGATGTTATGTCCCAGGTACCTAATAGGTACCCAATAAATATTTGTTGAATAAGAAAAAAATAAAAGGGAATATGTGAAGTCTATCACTATATCACACACAAAAAAAGCAAGGTAGGTAATTATTCACTGATATAACTAACATGTGTGTATTAATGCAGAATAACTAGTGTACTTCGCAATTTGAACAATTCTTGGAAATAGAAACATCAATTACTTTGAACCATCACCAATCTCAAGAGGTGAATAGAGAAACATTTCTAAAATGCACTCTGGTGACCACTGTCCTGTGTGGGGAGGGAGGTGGGGACACGCATTCTTACCAGTGCTACTGTGTCGTCTGTGATGGGGGGTCCTGGGCCCTTCATGGTATGTGTCTTGAGGCCTGGAACGCTGACAAACAGCACCACTTCTTTCTTCCCCCTTCCTGGGAAACGGGGGAGGGCTACAGTTCGTCTCATCTGATCTTCTTCTAGATGTGACCAAGTGTGAAACTGGCACTTCATAAATACCGCCGGGCCTTCTCCCGAGGCCGTACCCTAAGTCGCCTTCTGCCATGTCATCGTCCTCCACTTCCCAGGTCTGCGCCCCGGCCTCACTCGGTGGCCTCAACGCCCTGCTCATCAGCCAGGTGCCGCGGTTACCATGAGGAAAACCAGGTTATCTGCAGGTAGGAAGAACAGTAGTTAAAACACCGTCAGGGTGAGAGAGTTGGGTTTTCCAGGGAGCGCCAGCACACAAACGCAATCCAGTTCAACATGTAAGGGCTTACTGGTGAGGAAAATTCCCACTTCTTATTTCAAAGAAGCAGCGAATGGGGAGGAAGCAGGAAAGGCAGTTACTGAATAACCTGCTGATCAGGATAAAGCAGATGGGTCTTTGCCAAGGAAACAGAGATACAAGCTTATAAAGGAAAAGCTTCTGTTTTCACCAGCCTAAGAGCTACATAAAATTCAGACAAGTCTCTGAAAAAAAAAACACACAAAAAAACGAGCCTTGCAATGAATGACCAAGAGCGTCCTGCCTCTGTCCCCTCACCGCCCTTTATTCAGTTCAGGTGCCAGGGCTCTTCGGTTCCTCCTACAGCCCCTGTGCAGACTCTATTAGCAAAGGTTTTGTATGTGGGACAGTCCTAGGTGGGAGGCGGGAAGGTGCCCCACCTCCCTCTCAAATCAGATTGCCTCCGTTCAAAACCTATGTCGCAATGCAACCAGCACAAACCGCAAAGCCTCTTCAGTGGCGCAGGGCCTGATGCCCATCTCTGCCCGCCCTCAGCAGAGGCTGACTGCCCTGGCCTGCGGTGCTGTGGACCATGCCAAGTACTCCTGCCCCAGAGCTTTGCGCTCACCTTGCCTGGGGGAATGAACGCTCTTCCCCAGAGAGTTGACAGCGGATTCTGCACCTCCTGTGGGCCCTTCCTTCAGTCTTCCCTTCTCAGTGGGGCCTTTCCTGGCAGCCCGTCTAAAACTGCAGACTTCTCCCTGCCCTACTTAGCTGCTTTATCTTTCTCCTTGGCACTTATGACCTTCTAACATACCATATTTTACTCATTTTCAAATCACGCCTCTGAAAGGGGAAAGGTAGCCCAGCAGAGGGAGCCAGGTGAAGCGGAGGGTGGCTCCAGCTGCCTAGGATGCCTGTCAAGAGCTAGGGCACCCTTCAAATTTCCCCCACCAGAGCCCAGACCTGCTGTGGGTGGCCCTGAGAGAAATGTGAGCCCGGCTGGCGTGGCTCAGTGGTTGAGCGTCGACCTATGAACCTGGAGGTCACGGGTTCGATTCCCAGTCAGGGCATATGCCTGGGTTTGGGGCTTGATTCCCAGTATGAGGCATGCAGAAGGCAGCCGATCAATGATTCTCTCTCATCATGGATGTTTCTATTTCTCTCTCCCTCTCCCTTCCTGTCTGAAATAGACTCAATAAAAACGCAATCCAGTTCAACATGTAAGGAATATTAAAACTTCCCCACCAAAGTGGAACAAACACATCATTGCGTTTTAAAAAAAGGAGAAAGAAATGTGAGCTCCACAAGGGCAGAAGTGTCCTTTTCTTTGGATCACCACTCATTCCCAGTGCCTAAAACTGAGACATAACCGGTGCTCAAGAAATCCTGTTTAATAAAAGAATAGCCCAGCTGGAGTGGCTCAGTTGGTTGAGCATTGACCTGTGCACTGAAAGGTTGCCAGTTCTATTCCCAGTCAGGGCACATACCTGGGTTTTAGGTTCGATCACTGGTGGGGCACATACACAAGGCAACCGATCGATGTTTCTCTCACATCAATGTTTCTGTCTCTTATCAATGCTTCTCTCTCTCCCTCCCTCCCTCCCTCCCTCCTCTCCCCCTCTTTAAGCATGTCCTTAGGTGAGGATTAACACACACACACACATACACACACACACACACACACACACACACAATGACAGCAAAAAGAATAAAGCAAAGAAAGACTATGCAAACTGAAATCAACTTGCCTCTAAGGCAGAAAAACAAAACCATCACCTCAGCAAGGCTGCACACTGGATAGCATGGGGCTAACTGCCTGCCCTTCTTCCTAGAAGAAAACATCTCCAGGTAAAAATGCCCTACCTGGAAATCACCCCTGAGCCTTCCGGTCTGAAGACCATCGTAGGCACCTACCTGGTGACAGTGGCCTACCTGGTGGCTGCAGAGCACCTGAAATGCTCAGTCCAGTACAGAATACAGTTAAGAGGGGCTTTCACCACCAGATGTTACAAAACAGCTGCTTTGCTGTAGTTATTAGGAAATATTTCATCCTTTTCACAAGACTCATTAAAAAAAACAACCACCCATATCTGACATATTTTTCTAAATATCCTGCTGTTTAAGTAATTGCTTACCAGGACTTTCAAAAATAAATCTCATATATGCAGTCTTTCAAAAATAGTTACATCTTATTTTTCACTGATATCTCTCTCCTATTCTTCCACTATTAAAACCATACATAGATGCCAACTAGATCTGATCACGTATGAAGGGTTTTCTGTTGTTTTTAGGGTCAAAGTACCATATATTTTCAATGTGTAAAAGCAAAGGCCCTTAAGCTCTAGCCAGTGTGGCTCAGTTGGTTGGAGCATCATCCCCTACACCAAAAGGTGGTGGGTTTGATTCCCAGTCAGGGCACATACCCAGGTTGTGGGCTCGATCCCTGGTCAGGAGGCAACTGATCAATGTTTCTCTCTCTCTCTCTCTAAGAAAAAAAAGGTCCTTAGAAGATTTGAGGTAATCTACACTAATAAAAGAGAAAGATGCAAACTGACCATACCTTTGCAACACCCACCATCCAATCAGGAGTGAGTATGCAAATTAACCCAACAAAGCTGGTGGGTTCATTTGCATACGCAGGCGCTGAGCGGCCGGGGGGCATTCTGCACCACCCCAGCCGCTCTGGGCCTCTGGGCAGCGTGGGAAGGCAGAAAGGCGGCTCCAGCCAGAGCGAAGGCGGTGCCAGCAGCCAGGGGAAGGAAGACCCATTCTTGCATGAATCTTCATGCATCGAGCCTCTAGTACATCATAAAAGAAGATACAAAGATGGAAAGACACTCAACATCATTAGTCATTCAGGGAATTGTCGAATTAGACTACAATGAGATTCAATCACCTATTACTGCCAATTGCAAGTGTTGCCAAGATGTGGACATCCACATACACTATTGGTGGGAGCATAAAATGGTACAGACACTGAAAAGTTTGACAGTTTCTTTTCAACAGTGACACAGCAATTGCATTCTTGTTATTTATCCAAGAGAAACAAAAACATATGTTCATACAGAGATGTGTGTAAGAATGTTCAAAGCATTATTCAAATTAGTCCCAACCTGGAAACAACCCAAATGTCCATCAACAGGAAAACAGACAAGTTACAGTACATCCATACAGTACAATACAATATATTCAGCAATAAATAATAAATTTCTGATATATGTAACAACATGGTGAATGTTACAGACATTTATACTAACTGAAGAACCACATACTGAATGAAATCCTAGCAAAACTAACGTTCATAATAGACCATAGGTCAACAGTTGCCTAGGGTGGGAAGGTGAACTTCAAAGGGCATGAGAGAACTTTTTTGGATGATGAAAAAGTCTTATATCTTGACTAGAACGATGGTTGTCAAAATGAATCCAACTATATACTTAACGATGGTGCATTTTCATATATGCAAATTTTACCTCAATAATATGATAGTCACAGAAAAAAATAAGGGAAATTTAACTGGATTAGGGGACAAGATGAGAAGTGTGTTAATCAATTGTGCCCTCCTATATAAGAAAATAATTAAAATGGGTGCCTTAAATCAGCAACAATTTTTTAATAACATAATAATAGCGAGCTAGTACGTATTGCTTGCTTTCTGTGTTCTAGACACTATGTTAAGTGCTTTACTTAGATTATTCTATTTATTATTTACAAAAACTCTGTAAGACAACACTGTTATTACTAAGTACAGTTAAATTGAAGTGCACACAGGTAAAGTAACACAGCTAACAAGAGCCGGAACCAGATTCTGAATCCAGATCCCTGATGTCAGAGACACTGTTACACTCTTAGCCACTGCTTTGTATCATTTGGAGAATTTCAATGAGATTAACATCAGAGTAAATGAAGTTTCTATTACTAAATCTAATAGAACTGAAAGTAAAAGCTTAAAATAGCTAGTTTTAGCAACACTCAACAGTCTATTGGGTCCATTTTTATTTATTTTTATTTTTTAAAATATATTTTTATTGATTTCAGAGAGGAAGGGAGAGGGAGAGAGAGCTAGAAACATCAATGATGAGAGAGAATCATTTATTGGCTGCCTCCTACATCCCCCCTACCTGGAATCAAGCCCAAAACCCTGGTCATGTGCCCTGACTGGGAATCAGACCGTGACCTCTTGGTTCATAGGTCAATGCTCAACTGCTAAGCCACACCGGCCAGGCAGACCCATTTTTCCCCCAAAACTTTAATAAAATCATCTTGGTTCCTTTACAAGTTTACTTCCTAAATAAGTAAGTTCTATTTTTATTTGTCAGGGTAGATGGGAAGTTATTTGTTACCTAAGAGGCTGTGTTTTACCTCTAGCGCAGCAGATTCCTGTTTATAACCTCATATCTCTGCTAAGGAAGGTGTGGTCAGGGTTAGGCAGCCAGCAGTGAAGAAAACGGAATTGGTCAACACAAAGGAAAAATGCAATAAGGGGAAAGAATATGCAATCACAGGATTAGCTAAGAATATTTTTTAATGCACCCCCTATATTCAGGCATCATGAGAACATCTTCCTGCTATTAAGATTTTAACATAATAGTAAGCTTTCACATGGTCCAATGCCCAACTGTTTTTTAAAATGTAATTCAGGAACTGTTGGCTGTGGACCCTCCCACTTTTTATATGCTAATAGTAATATTAATGTGGAATGCAATCAAATTAAACTTGACTTTTGGAACATATTACTAACATTCCATTTGACTAGTTTTAAATTCATTCAATGTGCAACCAGGGAGGCTGTAGATGGGCAACAGAGAAGGCCTGGCCTCAGGAGTTCTGGGTTCAAAATTTCACTCCACTAATGCTATTCTGTAATCCTGGGCGAGTCATTTAACTTCTTGGAGCCTGTCTTCAAATTTCCAAAAGGGGTTTAAGCATAATTACTTTTTAGAGAGTTTTGCTTAGTTCTATAAACCCTTTATTTGGGCACCACTGATATATTTGAAAACAATGTTTAATGAATTAGAATTTGAGTATTAGTTTTTCATTTGTCAAATGAAGGAATTGGACACAATTTTTTTTTGTTCTTTAGAGCCCTGAAATCCCAGTTCTGTATCAGCATTTTCCACAGTGCCCCATGAAACCCTAGTTCTATGAACTGTGAGGTGTTGCTAAGAATGAAAGAGCCCTTCTGGTTTTATTATGAGCTGTATTTTACTATGCCAGACTAGGCACAGGTGCCCAGCTTCAAATTATACAGGTAGTGGCAGCCTAGCCTCAAACTCTACAGGTAGTGGCAGCCAGAACTTAGGAACATCTCTCTGGCTCCTTGTTTTGTGGTCTGGTCACTTGGGAAAGGCCACAGAATGAACAGATTGCAGACTGAGCAATCATCCTACTTCTGCACTAAAACAACTCTCTGAAAAGAGACCAGTGACTTCCTAATCACTAAATCCAAGACCTAGTCTTGTTCCTCAGCCACCTCCACTTCTGCAGAAGCTGTGTCTACTGACTTAACACCCAGGCCCCTGGTCCCACAGGAATCCTGGGGTGGGGGTAGGGGGAAAAAGGGGGAGTGGGGGGAGCCAAGAAACCATTTTCACC